TGTTGGTGGGAATGTAAAATGGTATAGCCACTATAGAAAATAGTATGGAAGTTTCTCAAAAAATTAAAAGTAGAACTACCATATAATCCAGCAATCTCATTTCTGGGTATGTATTCAAAAGAATGGAAATCAGGATCTCTAAGAGATGTCTGCATTCTCATGTTACTTGCAGCACTACTCACAACAGCCAAGATATGGAAACAACCCAAACGTCCATCAAAGATAAGCGAAGAAAGAAAATGTGATTCATACACAAACACACACACGGACACACACACACAATGGAATATTATTCAGCCTTAAAAGAGGAAATCCTGCCATTTGCAACAATATGATGGACTTGAAGGACATTATGTTAAGTGAAATAAGCCAGTCACAGAAGGACAAATGGTTCTGCTTAAGTGAGGTACCTAAAATCATCAAACTCATAGAAGGAGAGAATCAACTGAGTTACCAGGGGCTGGGGTGAGGGGGAAATGAGGAGTTGTTCAATTGTTATAAAGGTTCAGATATGCAAGATGAATTAGTTCTCAAGATCTGCTGTACAGCATGGTGCCTATAGTTAACAATACTGAAAATTTTTAAAAGAGCATAGATCTCATGTTAAGTGTTTTTCACCATGAAAGAAAAAACCAAAGGGACACGAGGAAACTTTTGGAGGTGATGGATATGTCTGTTACGTTGACTGTGGTGATGATTTCACAGGTGTATACATATGTCCAAACTCATCAAATTGTATGTATTAAATATGTGCAATTTTGTATATCAAATATATCTCAATAAACATGTTTTTTTTTAAAGAAAAAGGATCTTAGTTGTTAAATGAGTGTGGTGGATCTATGTGTGCTGTCATGGAAATATTCTGCATTCATTTTGTTAAGTGACAGGGTCAAGAGGCAGAACAATATGTACATTGTTAATCACACATGTTAAGTTCAATATATTTTTATAGCACAACTACATATGAAAAACCCTCAGGTCAGCTTTAAAATGACACACATCAGTTTGTTAATTGTGGTTGCCTCTGAGGCAGGGGCTGGATTTTGAGGGAAGGGGGAGATTGTAATCTATCTGTAAGAATTTTTTGCAGCAAAAATATATGTACTATTACCTTTGTAATTACACTATTTAAATACATCTAACCACAAAAATAGTAGGTATGTGGGACTTCCCTGGTGGCACAGTGGTTAAGAATCTGCCTACCAGTGCAGGGGACACGGGTTCAATCCCTGGTCCAGGAAGATCCCACATGCCGCGGAGCAACTAAGCTCGTGCGCCACAAGTGCTGAGCCTGCGCTCTAGAGCCCGCAAGCCACAGCTACTTAGCCCACGCACCGCAACTACTGAAGCCTGCCTGCCTAGAGCCCATGCTCCGTAATAAGGGAAGCCACCGCGATGAGAAGCCCGCTCACCGCAACGAAGAGTAGTCCCCGCTCACCACAACTAGAGAAAGCCCACAGGTAGCAACGAAGACCCAATGCAACCAAAAAGAAAATTTTTAAAAAATAGTAGGTATGCATTAATCAGATAAAGTAACTGATGCAACAGATAAAACCTGCAGACCCACAATGGCTTAAAGCAACAGAAATTTATTTCTTATACACATAAAGTCCAATGTGGGTAGGCAGGGGTCTCCACTGTCAGATGACCCAGGGATCCAGTCTGCTCCCATTGGCGGTTCCACTTTTCAACAAGCGATCTCCATGTTTGCTGCTGAATGGAATAGAAAGCATGGAAGTGGCATACTGGCTTTCAAATTCCTTGGCCTGGAGGTGACAGACATTGTTCATATTTCAGTGTCTGTGTAGTCACATGAGCCTTTCTAAATACAAGCGGATTGGACTGAACGTGTAGGACACATTTGTTCAAAGACAGGGTATCTGTCAGTAAACCCCTGACATTTTTCCCCTCCTAGAACGACTGTGAGTTCTGAGGAATTCAGCCTCAGTAGATGTTTGTTAGACAGTGAATTCCATGGTCTTTTCTCATCTTCAACTTATGAGGGAGGCTTTCGTAAACTCACTTATTGGTGTATGTGTTCAGTGGCCAGTCTCAAATAACACATTCCTTCAAAATCCTACTGACAATATCTGGGTCATTTACAAAACCCCCCATCTAACTTCAGTTATATCCCAAGAACCAGTATCTTCTGTAAGAAGTAAGATTGTGATCACCACCTCATTTGGAATATACTCTGAAACTTGTGGGCTGGGGATGGGGCTGTGGTAACCAGGTATCTAGACTTCACTGTCAGTGGTTCCACTGGGAGGGATGGGACCTTCACTGTACACATGCAGAGAGTTGGAATGCTTTAATCAAGGGGAGGGCATATGACTCTGGACTGCCTGTATCACAGGAAATAGGGTGCAGCTCCGGAGGTCACAGTGAAGAGCTGGTCAGTGTATGAGGTTCCGATTTGGGCAGGAGGGCACACTGGGTAAGACCCAGAGGAAACATGCTGTAATTCAGGAAAGTGCTGGTACAGGACTGTGCCAGTATGTGAGCAGAGTCACCTGTCAAGGAACCCTGGGGCTAGTGACAGGGGGATCCTCAGCATATGAAACCCACAGACAATCCCCAAATTGTGCTTTATTCTCATATTCACCTTCCTTCATCAGGATCGCTTTTTGAACTTTGACTAGAGTGTCTTGTTTTTTAATTGTATGTGATACATCTTGGAGTAGTGAGAATAATAGAGAATGAAAAGACAGAAGGTCTGCCTCAGTTTGGAGGAGTGGAAAAGTGTGGGCTCTAGAAAAATCTGGACCAGGGGTCTAGTCCCAGCTCTTTCACTTATCAGCCATGTGAACTTGAGAAAATTACAAGTTCTTCATCTGCAAAGTATGTCTAATAAGCCCTATCTTGTAGGACTGTTGGGATATATATAATGGATATGAAGCACTTGACAGAGTAAGGTCTTTAATGAATGGCAGTTATCATATGATTTTTTTTTTTTTTTTTTTTTACCGCAGATGATACCACCCTCCCCTCTGGGAAGATTTATGTTATATTAATCCAAGAGATATCACAGAATATGCAGTTTCCACCAAGTGATCGCATAAAGCTGCTTAGCAGGTAAAACAAAATAAATTCCCCCATTTGAGGATGTTACTTAATTTGTATGTGGGGTTGTCCACCCCAGTTGGATGCAACTCAGAGGTCGTAGAATTTGTGTCAAGGACCAACAATGTCCCCCCTGGGTGCCTTTCCATCCAAATCACCTGTATTTTTATTCACTTCTTCACCACCTAATATGGAGCCCTCCCTTAGAGTTTGCAAAATTATACTCAAGATAACCTAATTAAAATGGCTTTTTCTTTTTTTTTTTTTTTTTGCGGTATGCGGGCCTCTCACTGTTGTGGCCTCTCCCGTTGCGGAGCACAGGCTCCGGACACGCAGGCTGAGTGGCCATGGCTCACGGGCCCAGCTGCTCTGCGGCATGTGGGATCTTCCCGGACTAGGGCACGAACCCGTGTCCCCTGCATCGGCAGGCGGACTCTCAACCACTGCGCCACCAGGGAAGCCCTAAAATGCCTTTTTAATGCCTGAGATATGGTTCTCAGCATTCCATCTCAAGGGAGTGTCACCTTTATTTCTCATAAATTCCTGGAGATGCTGTGCATAAAACAACTAGATTGTGCTCTGTGTTCAGCTGCACTTGAACAAGAGCACAGGACACCTTCCATTTCTGCCCAAGGAGGAGCTTTTCCTCTGGTTTATTGATGATACTAAAGTAACTATTATGAACAGGTTTGCATTCCAGGGTTTTGTCCTCCTACTCTGAGAAACACCGTTTGTATACCTGGCCTCTGCTCACCAGTCCCACAGCCTCATCTAGTCTACCACCCAGCTTAAATTAACAGGATATCCCACTGAGAGACTTGTATTTTCCCCAAACCCCAAACTTCTGTTACCCAGGGAATTTGTACCTTATTGTTTTCACCCTCCCCCTCCCGTCTCCCAACCCCATCCCTGTCCCATTACCTCCTTACTCCTTCTTACTTGTCCTTTAGGTCTTAGAGGGTATTTCACCATCTTCTCTATATAATTACTGCTCCTTGACTGTACAGTTCTAAAGGCAGGGTGTTTTATATCCTAGTTTCACCATTTATAACACAATAATTTTCAAAGAGCAGATGCTCAATATTTGGAGAATGAATGAGCCAGTGAGTATGAGTTCTATTTTATAAGTCTTTTATTTCTCCTACATTCTTTAATAAGCTAAGCAAATCCAGTTATGTATTCTTTATTTTTACAGAATAACAGAGTAAAATGGATAAGGTAAACCAAGAACTACACATTTTTTAAACTTCTTTTCTCCTGTATTTTTTTTAACGTCTTTATCAGAAGTCTCCTGTATTTTTTGATCCCAGTAATTTTACTGATAAAATTTTTCACATTTCCAAAGAAATGCCTATTACCATGCCATGTTTTATTGTTCTAGTTCAATAAATGCGAAAGGTTTCCCAATTTGTGTTACAAAATAATAAAACTCTTAATCTTAACTCTATTGAGTTAAATCTAATAAATATGTAACTGAGGTCACTAATAAATTTAGATTCTAAAATTATTATACCTTCTATTAAAGAAACAACATTTAAAATATAACAAAAGGAAAGAAAGAAAGGAAGGGAGGGAGGGAAGGGGGAAAGAAGAAAAGAGAAGAAAAAAGAAAAGAAAAGGAAGAGAAAAAATTAAACTCTAAGTTTACCATATAGAATAGGAACACAAAGAGGATATTACACTGTGTTCCCTATAGACCCACCCTGGCCATCCACAACTTAGAATGTTGCTGCTCTTTTTCCACAAGGAAAACAATCTTCTCAGACTTCATCATTTGAACCATAACCTAAATAAAAAAGAAAAAAAGGTAAAATTCCAAGTTAGCAATACACAACAGGAACTCAGGGATATACCCTTCTCCAGTCCCACCCTGGCCCTCCACTATTAGAACACTGACACACCTTTTCAACCAAAAAGTGAAGAACCAGCCTTGAACTTCACGTAGCCTGGGAGAAGTTGCTGGCCATGGCCCTGGAGCGTGCACTGGCCATGGCAGCAGCACGAGCCCTGGCTGCCATTCTTGCTTGGGCTCTCTCTTCCTCGTCTCTCAAAGCTTCTTCATACCAGAATGGGAAGGCACTGGGCACTGTATCATGAATCTTGGCTAAAAACTCCAGGATTTTCATCTTGCTGGTTTCAGCGTGGGCTCGTGGACCCCATAGGAACTCATAGCGCGGAGGATTGCTGTTGGCCACCTGGCGGTACTCCAGGTACTTTAGCTTCACCAAATCTTCAGTGATGACCTTCTTGGGATCCCCATAGATGAAGTGCTTCCTTTCAGCATGTACACCCATCATATTCAGCACTTCCCAGATCTCCTCTTCAGGGGCACAGTTGCCGTTTATGAAGATCACACCCAGCACGATCATCAGGAGCCCGGTCTTGGGCGGGTTCTCTTCTTCATTCATCGTTCCATTGGAGGTGAGGTCTAGTTTGCTGACAAGGGCATAGCAGTGCCTGGTAGGATCCACTTCCTTCAGATCAAGACCAAAGGCCAACTCCATGTGCTCAGAGGCTCTTTTGAGGATCTCATTGAAATGATACTTGTACTTTTTGATAACAAACTTCAGCATCTCTGACTTAGTAATTGGCTCTTTTTTTTGATACTTATGCAGCAGGAAATGCACCAACAAAGCCACCTTCATGTGTAAAGGATCTCTGCGTAAGTCCTCAGTGCCCTTGAAGGATTTTGAGCTTTCCTTCTTTTGGCTGTTGGTACCTTCATCTGAATTGGTGCATGAAACAGCTGCACTAGCATTGGTGGTTCCCTGAGGTCCCTCAGGAGTGCTAGGTGTCCCAGCAGCAGGCATATTCTGAGGCCTGTCCTCAAAGGGAGGATAGACAGAGGAAAGGGACTCTCCTGCTGCTGCTGCTGCTGCCGCTGCCGCTGCTGCTGCTGCCGCCCCAGTGGCCTGAGCATCCTCCAGACTCTGGGTCTCAGCATGGGCCTGGCGGCGTTTCTCACGGGCACGGAGCTTACTCTTCTGACCTCGAGGCATGATGACTGGTCCGGGACTGCAGGCAGCTGTTTAATCTGCCAAGGTTGATGAGAGGTCACCGAAGAAGACAGAGGAAGAGATGGTGTGTATAGCCTCAATGGGGAGATTCTTCTACCTCGGTTCCAAGAAAAGCTGCCTCTGCTTTTCCCCTTAAGGGTACTGTTTTAGGAACCCACGAGACAGGGGCTGGCAGGACTCTGTGGACCTCCTCTGTTCTGCATGAGCTTGTCACCTCAGTTCTAACCCAGGATACTAAACTTGACTCCTGACCAGTCCTTTGACTCCTCCCTCTGCCGACTTGAGGCTACCCCTTCAGACCAAGGATTCCCATCCCACAAATTCTGCGGGCGGAAGTGGAGGGGGGGTTGGGCATAACAGCCACTCTTGAGCCCCTCGGGATCGACAGTGGGGTTGGGGCATGTCAGTCCAGGGCGGGGCTCTGTGGGGCCGCTTCAATTCTGGGAGGAGTGTGTCCCTTCAGTTCTAACGAAGATTACTCACCGCGACACCTCCCAATTCTGGGACTCCTCCGTCTGCTGATACGAGGCCACACGTCTCAGACTGCAGCCTCAGTCTCTATAGCTGGTGTGACAGAAGTTAGGGAGAGTGCTTCCGGCCACGCCCACCTGGGCTTCCCAGAGTTATAGCAGAGGTGGGGTTGTGGGGGCCTCCCTCTCTCTTTTGGGAGGCGGAGGAATCACGCAGAACTCACACCGGGGTCTTACCTGACTCCTGACGGGGCCCGGGACTTTCTCTGCTGAGATGAGTCAGCTGGCCTCAGACCAAGTTCTCATTTCCCTCAGAAACCCCAGTTAGAAGTAAGGGGGAACCTGAGCGTAGCAGTCGTGTCTGGGGTCTCCCAAGACTGACAGTAGGGGGGCTCTTTGTGGCTTCTTATTTTGGAGTGGGTTCTCCCCTCTGTCACCCTTCAGTGTCTTACCTTGATGCCTTGTAGGTGCTGGGCTACTTCTCTGCTGACACCGCACCAAACCTATCAGGTAAGGCATAAATCTGTAAATAATTTAAAGAGAATTGACATCAGTACAGTATTCTCCTCACCATGAATAAACATAATATGTTGTTGTATTTGAGACTTCTTTTATCTAAATCTATCAGTAATTTTTTTATATTTGCTTCCATAAAGATCATGTGCATTTTTGTTAGTTCTCTTTTTAGGTATATTTTGGATATCGCTGCTGTTTTGAATGGTGTATTTTCCATTACATATTCTAATTAGTTATTTGTTTTGTGTGATAAGAGTCCTTCTTTTGATATAGTGATCTTCTACACCAGCTTTCTTAAGTTCCTTATACATTTGAATATTTGGCAGCCAATTTCTTTGGAGTTTTTAATTAGAGGATCGTATTACCTCTTTTCATTATTCATGACTTTTATTTTGGTATTGCTGTGTATGGCTGTATACTGGCTATGCAATCCAGTCCAGGTTTGAACAGCAAAGTTGGTACCATAGCTCCGTGTCCTCTTCTGGACTTTATTGGGAATGTTTCTAACATTTCACACTTATATATGTTTGCTGTTGATTTAACAATATGGAAATTCCATTCTAATATAAGTTTTCTAAAAGTTATTACCACGAACAGGTGTTGAGTTTTTATCAATTTCTTTATTCCCACACATGTTCAAATGCTTTCTCTTCTCTGTCTGTTAACATAGTGAATTCCAATACTACTCTTTGTTAGCAAAACCATTCCAGAGGTGACACTGCAATTCTATTAGGAGATACATAATGTCTGTAGTTTCCTTTGTGGTGATGTTGTCAGTCATCGAGGATCATCACTGTCATCCATTAATCCATTACAATTGCTGAGTTGTAATTCTCCAATTCTATCATTCCTTCTCAAGATTATTAGCTGAAATATATCTCTAGGTAGAACCTTCTGTTATCCTCCCTTTTGTTTTCTTGAGGTGAGCCTTACAAGGCCCTATTTTACTGCCTAGAAAGATAGATAGCTAGATAGATAAAGAAAGCTAAATCTCTCTTTGTCTAATCAATATCAAAACAGTCTTTAGCCCAAAATTGTTTCATATTTTTTATAATTTTAAATAACAAAAAAATCTTGCTTGAGAACAAAGCCAGTTAATTGGTTGAATAATTCATCTTTCATTAATTACTATTAATGAGCAGCATTGGAATAATCAATGTTCAGGCCCTAGAATTTATCACATGACATATTATTTGTGCCTACAGATAGTTATAATTTTGGAAGATGTAGAAAATTGTCCTATGATTTATTCAAAGCCAGCTTTCTTTGAAGGGATATAGTTTCTCTGTTCTTTCTATATAGCTACCCAGTCGTTAGGCTAGTTGAGTTTTACTTTTTTCTTTATAAATTCCAATGTGGATATGGCAAGTAGTGTAAGTGTTATTACTATCTTAGTTTATGCATATGTAGACGTAAAAACAAATTGTGGCACTCTGTCCTCTGGGTTCACAAATTTATTCAATATAGGGCTGTCGTAATGGACTTCATTTAAGGACTCCATTAATGTGGTCAATGCAAAAATATCTGATTTGTTTGCATAAATATGCTAATATGTTGCCTCAGTTTATTAAAATAATTTTTCCAACTTCTCATTTCAGTTGTTAGTAAATTAAATGTTTAGATTTTTGAATGAATATTTAGTTCTTGAGTAGGAAACATTGTTGGTTGTTTCTAAGTTAATAAGCCTGGAAATATAGAATGTTATAGAGCAATGACACTCAAACTGTGGGTAAGGAGTCTTAGGTCATAAACTAATTGTACAACTGTTTTAGAGTTCTTTATCTGTTATAACCTCCTTCTCCTCCTGTGCTTCCGCCCATCCTGCTTCCCCATGAATGGTATAATAATGGCTTCTCAAGCAGAAGTCATTTAGAGTGATTCAGCCCCTAATAATAACTTGAGCCTTTCAATGGCTGAAGACTTTGTTCCCCTTTGCTTTCTGTTTCAGTTCAACTTGAACAAATTGTCCACACTTAAATCTGCTGTGTCCAGTACCATTTCAACCCTTTCAATGGCCCCACTGCCAATGAAGGACTGAATTTCTGAAGGCTTCCTCATCCCCATACCTGATTCTCTAAAACATCAGCTCCAGCCTGGATAATGATATTAAGGAGGAACAAGACATGTTAGTGATCAGGGCCATTTTAGAAGAATGGATGCACTGTCTTCAATGAGCCCAATACCTGTGACACCATGCTTAGACTGACATAGCCAGGAGTCACTTTGTCAGCTTAAGAGAACTCTGCTTTTGAATACATAACTTCGCCCCTTGCCAGGCAACCAAAATAACTGAGTAGAGAGTTTATTTAAGAAATAGAAAATGTTAATATGGCCTAGTAAATGGAAGATAAGGAAGTGTCCAAGGGTACATGTTACTGAGTCAGGGCCAGGACTAAGGTGAGGTGAGTGATAAAATAAATAAACTTTCTTTATTTTAAATAATGAAATAAATAAATGCAAATAAATACAAAGTTTTAAATAAAGACAGGATCTGACCCTGCACTTGCATGATGCTGAGAGTGAGTGCCTCACTTGTTTAACCCTGTTTTTAGCCAGTGGATGGTGTTTTTATTTAAAAGTGCGATATTTTCTTATCATGGATTTTGGCATTTATTTTGACTTTTTAAAATATTGAATTGAGACATAATTTATCTTGATTACTGAGATTTTTTTGATTTCCCCCCCCCCTTACCTTAAATTTTGAACTCAAGGTGAAGGCCTGACTTGTCTCACCCTAGCCCCAGTCCTGGTAGGTCTTTAGTGTTTAATACTGATCCTGGCCTCACACTTTTAAGAGCATCATTACTTAATGCCTTGTTTTAAATTTTAGGCATCATTTCACTGTCTGCTTTTGTGATCTTGAGCAGTAAAATTACCCTATATGAGACTCTATTAAAAAAAAAAAGGTTTAGAGTAGATAATAAAGATATTCTTTATACTGAGTTGTTGGGATGATTAAATAAAAGTATATATGAGAAAATACTTTGTAAACTCTACAAATTATTAGTTGTTTAGAAATATTTATTGGGTTGAAACTTTGAGAAAGTCTTAAAAATCAGTCTTGATCCATCCTTTGAGATACCCAGTGGATTAATTTTCCATTGCTGCATAGCAAGTTATCACAGACTCAGTGGCTTAAGATAACACCCACTTATTATCTCCCAGTTCTGTTGGTCAGTAGTCTAGATGCAGTTCATTTGTGTTCTCTGCTCAGGTCCTCACTCTCAAGGTGTCTTATTGGCTGAGCTGTGTTCTTATCAGGAGGCTCTGGGCAAGGATCCACTTCAAGGATTCAGGTTGTTGGCAGAATGAAGTTCCTTGTGATTGTGGAACTGAGGTCTCCATTTCCTTGCTTGCTGTCAGACAGGGGCCATTCTTAGCTCCTAGAAGTTGATTGCATTCCTTGGCGCATGGCCCTCTCCATTCTCAAAGCCCACAGTGAAGAATCTCCTTCATGTAGAATCCCCAGAACTTTGAATCCATTTCACCAGGAAGACAGAGTCTTGCCCCTTTTAAGGGCTCACTTGATTAGGTCAGGTCCACCAAGGATAATCTCCCTTTCTTAAAGTCAACTGTGCCATGTAACATAACCTAATCACGGAAGCAATATTCCATCATATTCACAGGTCCCTCCTACACTCAACGGGAGGGGATTAAACAGGAGTGTGAGCCATATGGGGTAAGCTTAAAATTCTGCCCGTCACACCTAGAAAAAAATAAATGATTGCAGAATTTCTGACCACAATGGTAGCTGGAACTCCCAAGTTGCATATACTATACTAAATTTAGAATGAAGGGTTTTAAAGTCTCTAATGCTATGGGTTGTGTTTTTGCTTTTTTTTTTTTTGAACACTTGTGCCTGATGGCCATTAGCAAATACCAAATACTGGGGTATTTGGAACATTTAAAATCTGATCAGTTAAGAGGTTTTGGTTTTTTGTTCATTTGTTTTCTTATTATTTTCACTCTTAGTGGAATGTTAGAACTAACCTTCTC